ATGGGCGTTGAAGTCGCCGAGGATCACGATCTCTGCGGAGGGGATCTGCTGTAGCAACGAATCTGCAGCCATTTGGACGTGGTCGAAGAGTCGGTCTGTTTCGGCATTACCGCTATGGGACCTATAGAGGCACCCGTAGACGCGCGGATGGTCGTCGCTGTCTACGCGTAGCCAAAGGATGGACAGGTCCGAACCTTCAAGTCTGCCGAGGCGTCGAGAACAGATGTCCTCTCTGACGTAAACGCAAACTCCAGCCCGAGGCACAAAGGAGTGTTCCAGTTTGTACCCCGGGCAGGAGAGATACGAGACATCAGCCGGAGAGGACACCTGCGTCTCGGTCAGAAAGAGCAGAGCCGGCCTCGCCGTCTCGAGATGGTAGTGGACGGCGTTTAGGTTAGAGTGAAGTCCCTTGATATTGCAGAAATTCACGGACAGCGTGGCAGGGGTCGCCTTGGTCTTGTTGCTCCGTTTGCCCCGAGCAGTTTTAGTCTTGAGCGGAATATTGCCCCCCCCAGAATACGCGGGGCAGCCTGAGCACCCACGCTCAGAAGTGGAGAAACATGGTCGTGGATGCTCAGCGAGGGATTCTCCAGGGGTGCTGGTACCCTCCTGGGGTAGTCTATCATTTAATTCCGCTACCATGTTGATGGGGGGGGGGATTTGGGCCTCCGGCCACCTGCACTCACCAGACGAAACGCGGAAGCAGAGCTTCCACTTCACGCCGGTATTCTGTGAGGTCGTGGTACCACCCCGGTTTGAGCCGGCCGGTTTGTATTGTTTACATTTGAAGCCATTTGATAAATCCGTGTAACCAATAACAATGGTCTACAGAGAATCTTTATTGTTTGCACATTCATTTAAAATGGCTCATTGATAGATGATTGCAGTTGCAAAGGTCGTCTTCGTTACAACTTTGAGTTACGGAGGTGCGATGCCGAAATTATTCGTTTAAATTATAGAGGGTTTGTGTTTTAAGTAAAAGAGGTTTTGGACTCCGAGCGGAAGGGAACACATAACTTTATGAATTTATAGAGGTTATTATTTATTACGTTATCGAGGTTTAAGTTATCAAGGTTCTAATGTACTACACATTGAACGAAACTTGTTTTTTTATTACGGATACTTTACCGTTTAGTTATTTTTATTTTTATGTAACCGTTGTTCCGAACACTTTGCATGTACTTTGTCACGGGGTTGCAGAGATATGATTAACAGTATTTTTCACAGATTCAACTATGTTCAGCAAGACGCATTATATAATTGTTAATTGAAGTCGCGAAATAATTGATTTCAATATAGTAGTTCACAAACGTGTTCGTTTACAATCATTTTAAGGGTATATTTGTGGACTTTTATTCATAATATAGCTATATTGAGGTCCAAAAAAATGCTATATATTATAGCTGACAGTACTATTGATTGCTAAATGCTGACTAATCTTGACCTGTACAGTGTACACCCATATTAACGCTCGCAACACAATAGTGTTTCCGTGATAGATGCAATAAACAAGCGAAAGCGTAATTTTTAGCTTTTTCTGTTCGAATATACTCTAATAAGTCTTCATAATTACTAGTTACTGATGTGAACGTGTATGTTATTTGAGGTTCCAAGTTCAGCTTAAAGTTAAAAAAATTGATAGGATCGCAGAAAGAACTTAATAGTATTTTGAAGTATTGTAGTGGTATGCTTGGGGTTTGGATTTAATTTTACTAAATATAAGATCCCAAGGAGATGGTAGCACTGAACAGTTTATCTTTGTTGCATTTGGGATTATTTTAATAGCCTCGTTAATCATCCTGGTAGGATTCGGTTATAATTGATTGAATGATTCCGTATTCTTTTCTAGGATTTGTGGTCTATCTAATCTGGTCCCCGACATTACATCATATATGACTTCAAGATACTGTAAGTTCTTTCTGTGTAGTTCAAACCAATAATTACTAATTTTAAGCTAAAGTAAATATTTATGCTGTAAAGTACACAATGCGTTGGAAATATAAAAGTAAAAATAAGTAAATTAAACGGAATAAAATCCATAAAAACTAGTTTAATTTTTTTTATGATTTCAATTTCAAATTTCAATTTCAAAAAGCTACAATTTTAATTTTATTAACACGTAATATCAAAAAAAACTGTAATAAAAAAGAACTAAACTAAAAATTTTTATTGTCTTAAAGTCCTACTCCCGTGGCAACGTTTAAGTTAATTAGAACGTTTCATTTAAGTTATTTAGAACTTTTAAAATAACTGGTCACCAAGTTATAACACTGTGGTCCTATTCGTCAACATCGTCGACATCAAAATTGTTGTCACTTTGAAATACATTTCATCGTATGCAATATAACTTTCTTAGATAAGCACTTTGATTATGGAACATACAACGAAATATATAAAATGTACTCCAAAGTGACTATTATTATGAGGTATACAATGCTGTGGAAATTTTTCATACAATTTCCTGACCTTTCTCATACAGAAATTCTTGCAGATAAGCAAATTTTTAGCTCCATCGGTGCTAATTCCATTATATGCAAGTGTAAACTTGAGTATGTTATTCTACCTTAGCGTATAGACGCTAGGCCGTGGGAAGTATCCAGTCCACCGACAATGAGGTCGTTATGTAAACATTCATTTAACATGCAATGTTCTTGTGATAAGATTATGCTTTATATCGCTAACGGAGGGATAAACTTCGAGTATCAATGCATCATATCGTTGATCTATTTTATGGAACTATTTCACGCCTTATTTTACGTGGTAGAGCCACAGTCTATAATCTTTATTATACTGCGGTAGAGCCATGCTGCAGCTTTATTGTGGTTGCAGCACGAAAGGGTCTGCTCGATCGGGGTAGAACCACGCCAACCACGCTCTCACGGAATACCAGCGTTAAAATAGCAGCTTAATGCTGCTGCGTTTCGTATGGTGAGTGTAGAGAACGTGAGACCCTTTATACTGAAAACGAGGCATCCGATCTCGGTCCTCAGGGTTGACAACGCATCTTCTACAATTCTTCGGTAACTTAAAGAATGATATGAAACCTTTTGTTGGTCATTTCATTTAGTATCCATCCACGCAACAGTTATAGTAGGAACGACGTTTTGCTATTATAATTTATCAAATAGGAAATGTACATAACATATAATTTTTAAAATACATTAAAACTTTTACAACTATTTTTACCTACAATTAAATATACCAAACACTAAACAAAAACTATTTCAACAAGTATTTACATAAAACTACGTAAACAGCGTTAAAAAACTTTAACATTGAGTCGCCTACATCGCGCTAGCCCCGACTGCGTATAGCGCCCAGTGCGCCTAGCGATTTTAGGTAATAATTTCACGCAGATAGCAAGAGTGACAGAGGCCTGCCATAATATAGACTCAGCGTGGCTCTACCACGTAGAAAATTTAAAATTTCTAATGTTTTAATAACAATCACAAAATTATATAAACGTTACTTTAAAACATGCGATCATGTCATTTCATTTGTATTGCATTAGACTACAATTAAGATAATGAAGACATTATGATAATGTGATGTTTGAACGTCGGGATAATAAAAATAAATTAAAGTTGTAGTTAAACGCGATAAAATCCGTAAATAATAGTTTTATTCAATGTGATGTTTTCCAAAATATTTTTCTTACAAATTACGTGAAATAAACTTTCAATTCTTAATTGGATTTTATAACTGAGAATCTTTTTATTGACTTAACCTAATTTACTTCATCTGAGCTAACAAAAAAAAAGATAGAACACAATTCAAAAATACTCAAACGCTCAATCTCGTGCTGTCTCTGTTACTTTAAGTCAAAGTGACTGTGACACCATGAAACTTAACGACATCTTAAAATTGAGTAGCGTTTGAATATTTACTCATTTTTTCATTTAAACTGACGCCGAAACCATGTTCAACTAATCGTACCTTTTTTTGGTTGCATACAGTGAACGAAAATAAAGAAATATTTTCGTTTAGAGGATTTTAAATTTCTGTTTTTCGACTAAAAAGTGCAAATAAAACAAAAATTAAAATAATACTAGTTTTTACGGAATTTATCGCGTATATTTTAACTTTTTAAATACCCGACGTTTCGAACGCTTTACAGCACTCATGGTCACGGGCAGGACTGAGATGTTCAACGTCCATATGTCATAGTTAACCGCGGTTACCATAGATTAAAATTTAACTTTTGTTCCGATCTATGCAGTATGAACTTATGGTATCTTGAAGTCTTGCAGTTGTATGCTTGGGTTGGGATTTAATTTTATTTATTATAGGATCCCAAGCAGATGGTAGCACCCAGCCATCTTCTCTATTGAAATTAGGATGTTTTTTGATTTCAATAGCCTCGCGAATCATCCTTGGAAGGAATCGGTGTTCTTTAGCGAGGATCTGCGGTCTATCAAATCTGATGTAGTGACGGGGGCGATCCTGTACGTGTTTACAGACTGCAGACTTCCCGGAGCGTCGATTCTTCACATCAGCTATATGTTCTTTAACGCGGGTTTTTATTGATCTTTTAGTTTGTCCTATGTAGGACAGACCACATTCACAATCAAGCTTGTACACTCCTGCATCTTGCAGAGGGACATTACACTTGACCGATGGTAAAAACTGACCAATCTTCTTCAGCGGCTTGAAGTATGTTTTGATGGAAGCGCGCTTCAAGATGTAGCCAAACATGAGTGCTGTAAAGCGTTCGAAACGTCGGGTATTTAAAAAGTTAAAGATACGCGATAAATTCCGTAAAAACTAGTATTATTTCAATGTGTAGTGTTCGCGTAAATATAAGAAATCATTATGTAAAACAAAAATAACATATACGAAGTCCGAAAGACATTAAATTATATATCTACTTAATTTTATTTTAGCGTTAACATTCCATATTATATCAAATGTAGTGATTTTTGTTATTACTAAATATGATTAAAAAAAACTGTTAAAAACATCTGACTATTAACAAAAGTGCATGAAAGTGACAATGCAAGATGGCGGAGTTTCTAAACAAAATAAAAAGGTTAGGTAGGAAGAACAAAAATGAGAGAAACAGTGTATATTCGGTGGTGTCGTGCAGTGACCTGACGCCGGGCAGCTTGGAGGTGTGGGTGGACCTTCCAGACGAGATCAAGTACGACCCATCGTTGGCTCCCTTCAAGCAATTGTATGAGCAACACCATGGTAAGGATTTTTTTTCATAATTCGCACCTAAACTAGATATAGAGCCTATACATGAAGTAGAAGTCCAAAAACTGGGCACAAGTCTTCTCACATTCCTGAGATGGTTTCCGGTTCAAGAATAGTCCGCCATAATCTCAACGCGTGATAGTAAGTGTTGGCTGGGCACAGGCCTTCATATCATTTCAGGTAAACTGATTCAAATTCCTCCTTCCTCTAGATTTCCTTACGATGTTTTCCTTTACCACCTACCATTTGATAAATGAGCACTTAAAGATACAATTAACAATTTTTTGGGTGCCGACGGAGGGATGAAATTTTCAAGCGTCTATCCCCTAAGCATCCATGCATCGTATTGTGTTCAATATTGTGCAGCTGTTATATTTAATAAGTCTTTTTCGTGTAACGGAGAATATGCCAAGTTTTTATCGATATGCCAACCAAATGAACTTCTTAATTGCCGATATAATAATAATAAGCCCCTGCCGAGGGGTTCTTATTTATTTATATTAGTGTATATATTTATGTATTTTATACGTGGGAGAGCCACGTTATAGTTGTAGCTAGGGTTGCCAGGTCTTAAAACCAAAAAGCAGGACAGACCAGCGAGCTAAGCCGGACATTTTGGTAAAAAGGCCCACACCCTTATTTTTTGTCTTACTAAAAGACACTTTTTTAAAAGTAAAACAATGTTTTTTATCATTTACCGTAAAATCTTCTTAAGTTCTAACGAAATAACAACAATTGAAAAAATCAGTCTTCTTAATTATTAATTAGAATTCAATATTCATTGCAATATTAATTAATTATTATTATTCAATATTCATTATAATATTAATTTCGATAATTGCAATAGTATGTATGTAAGTATATGGACAATGTAAAGAAATGGTCACATTTAAAAAGCCTAACAAACGCCGGACACCGTCTAATTTGGCCGGACACGCAACCAAAAAGCCTGATTGTGTCCGGCTTTATCCAGACGTCTAGCAACACTAGTTGTAGCACGAATGGGTTGGCTCGACCAGGTTGGACCACGCTCTCACAGTAAAATAGCAGCTAAATTCTGCTGTGTGTGTAAAGACATGGTGAGTGTAAAGACCCGAAGACCCTTTTTACTGGAAACGAGGCATTTCATCATAGTCCTCACGGGTGACAACATTTGCATTTTGATCCTTAACCGAGGATAAATAGAGATGTATATAGACCACAGCATTCTCTTGTCATCAGGTGGACTGTGTGCTCATTTGAAACCCTTATTCTATAAAAAAAAAAACATTTCCTTTTATACAGGGTTACTGATTATTCGACCTATTCCTGCTAGGAGGCTGTAGGGAGGTTATATCCAATGAATTAGACCGTGATAAAGTCCCTGGGCAAAAGTGAACCAGTTATGAGAAAAAATACATTTAATTTTTTTTAATTTATCGAAATAAGGCGTTTTAAAAATTAATTAAAAGAAAAGTATTGGCTGTAACCAAATTTTTACTCTTTTATCAATTAAAAGACATAATAAGCATTCATTATCAACACCAAAACTAGAACTTTCTGTCTATATTAGAAAATACCAGACGGAAACATCATAAATTTTAATAAAAGTATAACAAATAACAAAAAAAAAACACTGAAACATTTGGCGTGCAAAATATTTTAAAAACATCTACGTATTATTAGCTTTCTGACAATGTATGACTTGGGGTCGCTTTTATGGTTTCACAAAAAAAAAATGCATTTTAAAAAGTAGAGGTATCGAATTTCTGGGAATCGTTTTACTTATTAATATTTTTACTATCGACAAACACGAAATTAGTAATCCTAAACACTTGTTTCTAATGTTGATTGTTCAGTCCCGTATTGGTTTACAAACGATAAATTTTCAGATGTATTACTTGTAGCACAGGTAAAAAAAAATCGGTGGTCAGTTCATACTGTTAGTACCGTTCAGACGCTATTATGGCCGGGACCAGACTAACGAGAAATGCCGTTAATTATCGCGTTGATGGACGTTGAATGTAAGTGTGGCTACGATTTAACGCAATAATTTGACAACGGCATGTGCACTACGTTTGTCTCATTGTGATAGTGCATGATGAGCGCAACGGGGTTGCACTTATGGCAATGATGGAGCGGAACAATAAAAAAGTTATTGCGTTTCTTGAGATTCTGCAAACAGAGCCAAGTTTATGTGATCCGAGACTCAAAAGTTTTAAGAATCTTACATTGCAAAATGATGCTTTGCGACGAATTAGGCAATTATAACCTTTTAAAACGACTATCGAAGGAATTAAAAAGAAGAAGGAAAGCCTAGTGAGTTTTTAATAGAACCCATTTAAACAAATATAAAAATTAACATTAACGCCGTTCAACGGCATTGAAATTTAAACGACGTTGACCGTGCAAGTATAGCCACTCACTTTATCGCGTTAAATTTAAGGCAATAATTGTTGCGTTTATAGGCATTGACGTTTCTCGTTAGTGTCGCCCCAGCATAAGGAACGTATTTTGCGAACCATTTAATGACTCGGCTTCTGGACAGAGATTTCTCATCTTCTAGTGAACCAGTTTAACACTGTAACAAAGATACGAACCTTTCATGTCAGCAGAACGTAATCGAAACCGCCGTCATGGCCAACAATATTATAACGAAGAATACGCCGATATTATATTTTGTTACGCCTATTGCGCAGGTGACTCTGCAGCTGCTCGACGTGGATACATCCCACCGAACTATATTAATACGTACGTAGTAGTAATACCTCAATGATACATTCATCGATTTTATATAAACGTCTTTGATGGTGTCCATTGGCAACTCCGAAAAATTGGTAGTGTACAAAGGAGAACAATCGATGTTGCTAGACCACGCGTGTATACTGTCAAAAGACATTCTTCAACGGAATGTTAAGGATCTGACGGTATTGCATCACAACTTGGCGTGTCTCAATGGAAAATTTGGTTTACATTGCATAATGCAAGACTTTACCCGTGCAAGTAATTGAGGAAGGTGATCCTATCAGGAGATTAGACTTTTGCATGTTTATGTTTAATGCCGACTTAGATAATCCAGCGTTCTTTAATTTGATAAAGATGACTTATCAAATTATCATAATCTTCACTATTGGAATGATAAAGAAAGAAAAAATCCCTATAAAAAGAGGCAAAAAGGATCGCAACAACGATTTTTGAAATTATTGACAATAATGTGATTAGTCCTCATTTTTTACCTGATAAGTTAAATGGAGAAAGTTATAAATATTTTTTCAGTAATTTTTGGATAAACTACTTGACCACGTGGCCTTAGAAACCAGAAGATATATGATATATCAACAAGGTGGTATTGTCCTGCACACTTTAGAATAACTGTGCGACAGTGGATAGACAATAATTTACCCAGTCGATGGATTGGTAGAGGAAGACCCATTCCTTGGCCTGAGAGAAAGAAGTCTTGACTTCCTGACCTGGACTATTGCGTTTGGGGCCATATGAAATTGTTAGTTTACGTTGTCTCTCCTGTACCATCAATTGAGGAGTTGAGGGAGCGAATTGTTAGTAAAGTAGTAAAAACGGAATTATAAAAAAAGGATGTGACCGGCTAACTGTAGTTTGCAACATTTATTGATACAGTCCTAAGTTATTTTTAATTACATAATTCAATATTTTGATGAAATATGTAATTAGACGATTTTGTTATTATGTACTTCTACGATGGCATCTCAGTAAACTCTGCAATTTTGTATCCGAACATTAGTTTAAATATGTCGTTAGAAAGCTAACAATACTTAGATATTTTTAAGATGTTCTGCACGCCAAATCATTCAGTGTTTTTTTTTAATTGTCATTATTATGGAACTCTTTAAACTCTTTTAATTAAAATTTTTAATTAAAATTTATTAAGATTCCGTCTGGTATTTTCTAATGAAGACGGTAGAATATATATAAATAGTTCTAGTTTTGGTGTTGATAATGAATGCTTGTTATGTCCTTTCACTGAAAAAAAAATGAAAATTTGATTACAGCTTATACCTACTTTTTTTCTGATAAATTTTTAAAACGCCTTACCTCGATAAATTATAAAAAAATACGTGTGGCACTCGGGGACTGCCGTGGTAAAGCTATTGCATATTTATCAACTTATGCAATTATAATTATTTATTTATTTTATTTATGCTGTATTGTTTTTTTCTTTGTTTTTTTTTCTATATCTTTGATATTAATTCAAGTTACACTTTTTGACCGTGGTGACCGATAAGAAAACAATTTTTTTTTTCTTTTATTGAATAAATGAGAAGTTAATATTGTTTAAAATATTTTTTATTACCTTACAATAGATGTAGATTATTCAGGAATTTTTATCATTGAAACTATAGGTTTACGGTAATTAACGAGTTCTTCCGACAAACGGTAATTTTCTATAAAGTCTATGTTTATTAAATACTCTAAATTCACGAAAGTTTAGGTTTTTTTCGTAAGGTACGGAATTTCTTGATTCGGTCGCCGCGCTCAAAGCCCGCGATAAAAGCTATGCAATAGCTTAAAAACTTTAATGCATTTTTCTCATAACTGGTTCACTTTTGCTGAGGGACTTTATGGTCTAATTCATCAATAATATAGCCTCCTCTACAACCTCCTAGCAGGAATAGGTCGAATAACGAACTTATTCATTCCAACCAGATGAGAATTATTTATAAATACCCCTATCCCTATAATAAATAATAATAATAATTTTATTTCAGACCTGTTGATTTATAGTTTATAGTTATATTGTTGATAAGTAAGTATCAATATTGACTTAAAAAGAAGTTAGTATTGTAAGTATACGCCCACCAAGTGATTGTGTATAGGACAGCCGTATCTTACAGATATCGCTCTAAGGATGATGTTACTGCTGTTTCGTAAGCGTTGCGAGATTGAGGCTGTTTTAATCCGAATGATTGCTTGGAAAGTATCAGTACGCGCCTGCGTAAAAATACCGGATGCGTTGCAATGCTATGGCAGCCGCAACAACATCCTACAAGCGCTATCATACCTACTGTACGCGCAGAGAATTGTAAGCTCGACGCGTTTATGTTACCCACAGGTCACTAGAGTAAAATTGATTAATGAAATAAAATTGATTGACAGAACACTTTTTTTATATAGGACAGGGTGACAAGCGAGCACACAGTCCACTTAACGGTAAGTGGTTGCTGTGGCCCATAGACATCTACATTTATCCTCGATTACGAAGTAAAACACAGATGCGTTGTCATCCCTGAGGACTAAGATGGAATGCCTCGTTTCCAGTAAAAAAAGCTCTCCGGATCTCTACACTCACCAAACGATATACAGCAGTATCACCCTGCTATTTTACGCTGGTATTCTGCGGGAGCGTGATTCTTCCCCGATCGAGCCGACCTATACTTGCTACAACCATACGTACGTAAATGAAATTCCGAAAGCATTATTTCTCAATGCGTATAAGTATATAATTATGTAAGTAAATGTTAATATACATTTTATGTGTATTTTTACAGGCAAATTGGATACAAGGGATAGTAACACGGAAGGGGAAAAAACTGTTTTTAATAGAGGAACGGTGGAAAATACTATACCAGTTGAAAACAATACGGGAAATGACTTCATCGTTAAGGATAACGAGAATCGGTATGGGAAAAATTAAAAACTATAGTACGTGAGGGTAATATGGTCATTCGGTTAATATGATCACTTTCTTATAACTCAAAAACTACAGCCTTGTTTGCATGGAAGGCTATATGATTCGATAGCTCTTCATCAGTCAATCAAATAATAAAGGGTCAAAACAACGCTGCTTTATTGATTCCATTTTAACAGTTGATATTAAAGTAAACATTTTAGTCGATTTTAGTATGGGGTTGTAGTTAGTTTTTATTTAGTTGATTTCTCGAAGTGTTCCTAATTATTGTCAAAAGTTATTAACTTATTTGCAATTTTTTATTGATATATTAGTTATAGTATACGACTTTCTGTTTTTGTATCTATCCTCCTCCTAGTTTTGGTTTTATAGGATGGAAAATCTTAAGATGGGATGGATGATATTACCCTCGTGTATTTTACTCTTTTTCATTTTTAGATTATCAATTAATATTTTCAGTCCGAGTGGTGGTGGGGTAAGAATATTAACCACCACATTTCATCCCGGGGTTTCGTAAGACACGACATGATTATGGAATATGTCTACAAATGTTCATGGCTTCCAATAGATGGCGCTGTAACCATGTCGACACGATTATAAGGTCATAAGTATGAGACATGTTGTACTACGATCGTCAATTCCACCACCAAGGTACAATCATTGCCTTAACCATAGAATACCATAATACATACATAATAGAACGGGAGAGTGGGCGGAGCCCGTGTAACCACTAACATGTCAATTCACGCCTATAAATGTCAACACAATCAATCGTTTCCAATGTTCTTGTCAAGCGTAGCTGCATGCATATTATTTAAAAAATGGCAAATTGTGCAATAATTACATGTCGAAAGAACATCGGGAAATGGAACTTAAATAAAGGAGACATATCCTACGATCAGTAAGTCGAAACTATTTATATTTTGTAAATATTAGACGCAAAAATAAAGAAATATTGATGTGTCAAAAACATTAATCAAAAGTCTAAAATGTATTCGCTCAGTCTATCAATACAGCGAATCAGGTTTGTAGTAGAGATAATACGATGTAATTGCTTGTATGTGTGCTCCCCGCGATACCGATCCTAGTACGAAATAAGGTTGAAAGCCATTCTATTGTGTTTTATAGTATTCTATGGCCCTAACAATGGTAGGGCCTCTTATCCAACAGTGATTTTTTATGGATTGATGATAAAGAAGAAGCATTAAATGTTCACTTATCAATTATTATCGCATCAATGCGTTTCTGTCAGTACCCGCTATCCCATATCATCACTTGGGTGTCGAAAGAGCAAACTGACAGGAGATGGGCAGCATGATTACTTTGATATCAACTGAAAATAAGCATGATAAGTATATGGCAAAATCCCTTGCGGGGGAGGCCTATATTCAGCAGTTGACTTTTGATAAAAATGAATCGCGTCATTGCACAAAGGCAAACTGACAAAAGAGTACCTAAACTGGATGACCTTTTTTACCGTAAATAGGGTGTAACATGTGAACGGAGTAGAAGCCTATGGCACTGATATTTTACAAAAAATAAAAACGAAAACTTTGTTTTAATAAATAAATAAATAAAAATCTATCGAAACTCAAATCATATTGTGGCCGTGAAGGAAAAGGGGAGATCTCCCGCCGAGCAAGGTGTTCTGCCCGGGGAGCGGCCAACACTCCGAGTGATAGTTCGGAGATGTTCTATATATACTGTTTTCTGATTCGGAATGTTGATAGCGTGATTTAAGCTTCGGTTTATTTCGCTTGTGGCGCGACGACAGCGCCGCTACATCACCCCCTGCTCAGACCGGAGGTCGATAGTGCAGCCTCGTTGCCGACGAATGTGCAAGTGCCAGGAGATTGCCTTGTAGTCTGCGGTGAGTCGAGAAGAAGGCAAGTAATCTGCGAGAGTGCCGTGAAGCAGAGGCGAGCAGTAAGGCTCAGAGCCGTGCCGAACACTGTATGGCGCAGAGAGTAGCTTGAAGGAACAGGAAGCATTATTATTCTAGTGCTGCGATGAACCTTTGTGAAGCTAGATGGCTTGCACGATATGAAGACTGTAGACGATATCTGCTCGGGAGCGATACGGTGGGGTATTATATGACGATGATGAAGCTTGAAGTTTCCGAAGGTTGTTTGGTTGCGTGTTCAAATCACGTCGGGGTCACCACTGTGGCCGTGAAGGAAAAGGGGGAGATCTCCCGCCGAGCAAGGTGTTCTGCCCGGGGAGCGGCCAACACTCCGAGTGATAGTTCGGAGATGTTCTATATATACTGTTTCTGATTCGGAATGTTGATAGCGTGATTTAAGCTTCGGTTTATTTCGCTTGTGGCGCGACGACAGCGCCGCTACAATATCCACCCCTAGCCTGTGACAAGATCAAAAATGTCTACTAAATTTATTGTTTTATTGCCGTTCGTAAAGTAAGGTGGATATGATTTGAATTTCGATAGATTTACAGTCCACCTGAAGGCAACTGGCTTCCGCAATCTACGGATGCTTGCTCGCTTGCTTGCAACTTCGAACAAAGAAGGTAAGGATACGTCATCACCTTTGAGGACCAAAATGGAACGCCTCACAGCTTTTAATTATATTGGCTCTTTATAACATTCAGAACGGGACACAGCAATGCAGACACTGCTATTTGGTGGTAGTAATAAGTAAGAGTAGGTATGAATAAGAGTCCTACCAGCGTATATTTTGTTTTAGTTGCCTCTGTCACAAATAACGGCTAGTAGCCTTAATTTAATAAAGTACCCGGTTGACCGAGCTTTGCTCGGTATTTTTCACTCAGTTTTTTTAATTCGTGTGTTTTGGAAATTATATTTGGATACAAATTACATACTGATGAAATACGAATAATATTTTTTGATCGTAGCGACATAATAGAAAAAACTGAACTGGTTATTTGAATAAAAAATCATGAATGCAACTAGTTTAATTTAAATTTTCGTGTTTTTTAAAAAATACTAAAAAAAGGGCACGAAAAAATAGATTTTCTCAAAAAAAGAAAGGAACTTGAAAAAAAATTAAAAAAAATCGGCGAGTCGGTCTGGGCTCGAACCACGGTATTACGATTTTGTGAGCGCCCAATATACCAATTAAGCTATTTGTAATCATGAATAAACTGTCAAAATTTACCTTCTTATTCTAACGATATTGTAGCAGTTTTTCATTGCCTAAAAACACGGACAAAAAGACATTTTCTAAAAATAAATCCTAGCTAGATCGATTTATTGCCCCCGAAACTCCCTGCACACAAAATTTTATGAAAATCTTTGGAGCCGTTTCCGAGATTCCGATTATATATATACAAGAATTGCTCGTTTAAAGGTATAGGATAATTGATATTTTTTGCGATCTTATTTTCACCATCGCAGTCGCTAATAATACTCCATTTATTAAATTAGATTTTTTTTAAGTTAACCTTATCTACATTAACTAAACTATATTGAACTCTGTAATGTCGATCATTTACGTGTTGGAGCCACGCTGCAGCCATATTATGGTTATAACATGAATGAATCGGCTCTACCGAAGAAGGACCACGCTCTCACAGAATACCAGCGTAAAATAGCAACTCAATGCTTTATATCGTAAGTGTGCAGAATCGGAGACCCTTTTTACTGGTAACGAGGCATTCCATCTAAGTCCTCAGGGGCAATGCATCTGTATTTTGATTCTTAACTGAGGAGATAAATATAGATGTCTATGGGACACAGTATCCACTTACCAGCATGTATACTGTGTACCGACTCGTTATTGTTTTATTTCATACATATACCATAAAAAATAATAAAACGATAATTTTTGATATTTTTATAAATAAACAATGGATTATAATCGATACTGATACATTTACTCAATACAACAAAATTAAACATCATAATCCAAAATTACTACAATTCCCACCAGATTTACACAGTCACACAGCAGAATTTTGTAGAAGAATTGAGCCAAGAATTTTGTAGCTCTGGGGCTAAGCGCTTGATGTAAATTTTACAGCACGCAAACAATCCCCGGGTTCAATCCCCGCCGACACTAATAAATTATTAATTGCAGTTTCAATTGCTGATTTACCACATGTCCGAAGTTGGAGGAAAACATCGTGAGGAAATTCGCATGGTTGCTTATAATATAGAATAGGGTGACAAATGAGCACACAGTCCACCTGACGGTAAGTGGATGCTGTGGTCCATAGACATCTACATTTATCCTCGATTAAGAATCAAAATGCAGATGCGTTGTCACCCGTGAGGACTAAGATGGAATGCCTTGTATCCAGTAAAAAGAGTCTCCGGTTCTTTACACTCACTTTAGAAACACAGCAGCATTGAGCTACTATTTTACGTTCGTATTGTGAGAGCGTGCCCGGCCGAGCCGACTCATTCGTACTACAACTATAATATAGTTGCAGCGTGGCTCTACCACGTATATGTTTGAGAAAAATCGAAGACATGTGAAGTCGTATTCGGGCAACGCGACGGACATTTGCTTGCCCTAAAACCCAATCAAGAATAAGAGTATCTCTACCGAGAGAGAGAGAGAGAGAGAGAGAAAGAGAGAGAGAGAGAGTATCTCTACCTCTGTCTTACTCGAACTTTGACAACAGCAGATAAGTACAAACTCACACAGTTCACCTAAAGTAATTCACTCCTTGTAATTCTCTATCCTCATTACAGTAGAAATCAAATTGCAGATGCGCTGTTTCCCCTGAGAACTAAAGACACTGCAGCATTAAACTGCTATTTCACGCTGGTATTCTGTGAAAGCGTGATCCCTCCTCAATCGAGCCGACCCGTTTGTGCTATAACTACCACGTTTTAATTATTTCTTTCTTTCAGACTGAAAGAAACAACAAAACCAGAAGATGAAAAGGAAACGAGAACAGCGACGAAGAAAAAGGTAAAAACAAAATGTCACAATTCTTACTTAATTTGTGAACATTTCACCATTTCGCTGTCCCGTGAGTCATACGTAGGTCATTCAATTAGTTTTGAGATGCTCGAAATTTAAAAATGGTACGCACCCGTATTATATGTTTCTGAAAAGCAAATTTATTTAAAAATAGAACTCCATAATCCAATTGTTGAATATTAAAAAAAAAAAAACAAAGTTCTATTAATTTTCCACGCTTTTCATTTAAAACGATGGATCTTAACCGTGAACATTTGCGCGCTATGATCTATTGTGATTTTAAATTTGGTTTGACCGAACAATTAAGTTTACAACACCTACAATAGCTCCATCACGCGCAACATATTATTTAGGTGCTTTGCTGAATTCAACAGGGGTAAAATTAACCTTAAAGATGACCAAAGAACCGGGGTCCCGCAAACAGCAGTAACGGCAGAAAATGTATGGACTAGTGAAATGTTGGTGCGAGAAGACTCACAAATCACATATACGGACATCAAAAAGATTGTAGGCATTAGTTCGGGGAGCATTCATACCATCCTACATCAACATCTTGGAGTGAGGAAGCTTTGGTGTCGATGGATCCCTCATTTACGCTCCGAAAGCGAAAAACAGACTCGTGTGGATGGGTGCCATGAAATGCGTCTACATTTCGAAAACGGGGCATTTAGGCGTGTTTCAGAAATTATTGTTGCTGGATCTATCAATATGATCCGGAAAAATAAAACCAAAAAGAGATTTGAAATAGCGATGAAGGAATATGATGAATATGGGAACAGGCCCGACGTAATGGATGAAATGGAAAATAAACGCGATAAAATCAGCAAAACTTACTTACTGTTGTGTTCTAAAACAATACTGTTTCACAGATAGACCGAGCGCTGCGTGTTTTCAAGCTGACAGCATTGGTGGCATGCTGGTTGCTCGTGACAGTCTCGCTTCTCCTCAACATGGAAACAAGCGACGTGGTACTGCACACTGCGGTAGAGGCTGGCGATATTAAAGGTAAGTTAGTATTACTTAATGACAACAATGTTTACTTTTATATGCTATCTATGTTATTTACATACATATCTTAAATGATAGAGCCACGCTCCAGCTATATTATGGTTATAGTGTGAATGGGTCAGCTCGACTGGAGAAAATTACCACGCTCTCACAGAATATCAGCGTGATATAACAGTTCAACGGTGCTGTGTAACGTATGTTGAGTGTAGAGAACCGGAGATCCTTTTTTACTTCAAATGAGACTCGATTTTAGTCCTCAGGGATGACAGCGCACCTTCATTTTGATTCTTAATCGAGGATAGTTATACTGTGTGCGGGTGACAAACGGACACACAGACCACCTGTCTCCATTGAGACTGGTCGCCGCGTCGAAAATTCTGTCTGAATTACATTACATTATACTTCAATGCTCGCTTACTTTAAAATTCCTAGAACCGAGCTACCACAGCTTGAGAAACTCATAAGATTGTTATTGTATCTATAAAACGTAATATCGTTTGTCTTTAAAATATATAACATTTCTTATTTACAGAGTACCAACTAAATCCCACTTCAGTGAAGATTAAAGTACTTATTACACTGACGGGACCGTTCGAAGAAGCTACGACCAACAACACAATGAATTTACTCCATTTATGGCTGCGTAAGAGCTCCAGGAATGAGAGTACTGAATTTGAACAGGTTGGTGTCTGGAATAAGTTTTTTTTTTAATGCTTAAGGATACTACTTAGATATATCTCAAAGCGATAACGCGTCACCGTGTCAAATTCGTCCAAAGAGCACGAATAGTGTCCTGTGTTTTTTTTATATTTTACTTTTTGTGCAAATTGATTTTTATGTTCTAAAGTCAACTCATGGCTATAACTTGCTTATAGTGTTCAATTTTTTTTATGACATGAGCTACCAGTCTACCTCATGTCATGTAGCCACTGAGGCTAAAGCTTTAATAATCTAATAAAGAATGATGCATTTTTAACCGACTTCATAAAGGAGGAGATATTAGCCGACTTCATAAAGTATTAATCGACTTCATAAAGGAGGTGAGATTAGACTGTATGTTTTGATGATTCCTTTTTATTCGAAAGCTGGAGCTTTTCATGTGGTCTTATAAATTTGAACAAGATTTGATCAATAGGTTTTGAGTTATCCTAAATAATGCGTATTTAATTGACTTCGAAAACATTGATGATGTTCTCATTTTATTTATATTGAAGTCGGTTGTACAAAATCTTTAATTTTACCACTTGTTCCTCTCAGGACTGGACTGAGGGTAAATAAGCAACCATTTTCACTTGAAGATGGTTGCAAGGAATGTATCACAACCTGTAATTATACTGACTTTGTTAATCTTTATAGGAGACCATGGCAGACAAAGGTAAAGGGGTACTGAACCAGACGGGCTATTTGGTAGAAAGAGAAAACAAACTGTTGGAGTGTTCATTAAAATGTCCATTTGTCGAGTGATTTGTATGCCTTACAAATATTTGTGCCAGATCTGGATGTTTGTCTATGTGTCATTAGGTTGAAACAGAATAAAAGCAATATATTTTCATACCCCTGTGACTCTGCATTCATTTTGTCAGTATATTAACTTACAAGCTACCTGCTTACCCACAGGCAAGTTCTACGTAAGAAAGTGAGCAGGATCAAAGGTGTACTAAATTGTTTTGGGAAACATGGCCACAAGGTGGAGAAAAGGAATATTTTTAATTGGTTATAAATACCTGCAGCTACTTTACAATTTATATGTTTGTTTTTAAATGAAGTTCAGATTTATTATTTGCAATGGGGGCTTTATTTCTATTCTATTATTTATTACCTCCATTTTTTATATATTTCACAAAATCATCACTGCGGCACAGTCTCGACTGTCTGCATGCCGAGCGCATGCCGAGATCGAGGCACGTAGGCATAAACTTGCTCTCGCTTCATCCGTTTGTATGAAGTTGGAATACTGTATAGATAATATTACCGTGCCAGCGTGGTAAAGCAATGCTGCCGCTACAAATATATTATTGTTGTAGCACGAATAAGTCAGCCCGAACGGAAAAAGACCACGTTCTATTCTCAGAGAATACTGTGTTTCGTACAGTGTGTGTAGAGAACTGGAGATCCTTTTTATTGGAAGTGAAGCATTCCATCTCAGTCCTCAAGGGTCATAACGCACCTGGATTATCGTTCGTAATCGAGGATGGCTTAAGATGTCTACGGACCACAGCCGTAACTATCCATCAGATGGACTGCAAGCTCTCTTGTCGCCCATAAAAATTAAAAAATATATGTGAGCGGAGATTGAATAGTTAAGTAACACAACAGATTTAAATATAAAAGAGTTTGTTACAGAATTCCACCATCTGGATGGTACCCTTGAAGGCCGATGACGTAATGGATTTCGCACCAAGTGTGTCAGACAGTAAAATATTAGAGTTCGAACAAAAGAACTTTGCTCCATTTAACGCGAACGATACGCACGAGCTGAACTTAACAGGGCTCCTGCTGAAAGGCCAAGTCTCGAATGACCTTGAGACAGACATGTTTGGAAACGGTAGGTGGAAATTTATTATAATAAAAGAAGTTAAAGATATTTTTTAATTATTTAAAAAATATCTTCAACTTCTAAAAAAAGCAAGAAAGAACGGATAAAAATAGAAGAATATCGGATAACTTCCAGGCAAATATTAAAATGTTCTGGAAACTTGTAAGAACTGCCAGGGGACATTCAAAACAGCCTATGATGAATGCTATAAGAGACGAGAATGGCTATATTCTGAATGATGAAGTTTTGAGTTTAAAGAGATGGAAGGAATATTTTGAAAGCGTGTTTATGAGTGAGGAAACAACGTGTGTACTAAGTGAAGTAGAAACACCGAAAGAAGAGGAAAGAGGTACCGAGATAAGTATAGATGAAATAATGAAAGCAATGAAAAGCATGAAAGCAGGTAAGGCTGCCGGATATGATAGAGTTTCACTCGAAATGCTAAGGGCTGGAGAGGAAGTGGTGGCAGGCCTGCTGCACACCTTGTTTAATTTATGCTGGGAACTGAAGCGGGTACCGGTAGACTGGTGCAAAGCCGTGATAGTCCCAGTATATAAAGGAAGAGGGTCGCAGTAGGACTGTAAAAACTACCGTGGCATCAGCCTTCTTAGCATTGTGGGAAAACTGTATGCTAAGGTACTGATTGAAAGGGTCATGAAAGAAACTGATGGAAAAATTTGGGATGTGCAAGCGGGATTTAGAAAGGGAATGGGATGTACAGATCAAGTCTTTTCCATGCGCATGATCGCGGAGAAGTTTTTGGCCAAAAACCAAAAGGTTTTTATGCGTTCATGGACTTGGAAAAGGCCTATGACAGAGTGGATAGGGACTTGCTATGGCAAACACTGAACTCATTTGGGTTGAGCGCTGGCTTGATACAGGCATTGGAGTCTCTTTATAGGGACTCTAGTGCTTGTGTTAGGATCAACGGGGTCTACTCGGACTGGTTTGACATCCATAAAGGTGTCAGACAGGGCTGTGTGGCTTCCCCGTGGCTGTTCAACCTATTTATGTACAGTTGTTTGCAAAATTTGAAAGTTGAAGAATGCGGATTAAGAATGGGTGAGTTAACCGTCAAATGCCTTTTGTACGCCGATGATCAAGTTATTCTTGCGTCGTCGGCGGCCGAGTTGCAAATGATGGTTACATTAATAAACGGATCATTAAAAGAAAGGGGTATGAAAGTGAACGCAAGTAAGACGAAGGTTATGGTTTTTGAAAGAGAAGAAAGTAAAACGATTTGTGAAATAAGAATAGAAGGGGAGGTGATCGAGCAAGTAGATGAGTTTGTATATTTGGGCTGCGTATTTAGCAGGGATGGGAGATATGATAAGGATATAGAACGACGAGTGAATGCGGGAAATAGAGTAAATGGGGCCTTGCACTCTATTGTGAAGAGTCAAAATGTGTCGAAAAAGGCACGTATGGCAATTCACAATGCTGTGTTGGTCCCTACTTTAACGTATGGTAGTGAAAGTTGGGTGTGGCAGAAGAAGCACGAGAGTGGAATAAACGCAGTAGAAATGCGGTCGTTAAGGAGTATGTTAGGGCTGAATCTGAATGACAGGGTAAGAAATTGTGTAACAAGAGAAGAGTGTGGTTTGCAAGATGATGTTGTGACCAGGATTAAGAAAGGAATGCTTCGGTGGTTTGGTCATGTGGAAAGAATGAATGAGGAAAGAGTGACAAAGAAAATTTATGGTGCAGAAGTGAATGGCAGAGTCGGAAAGGGACGTCCTAGGCGAAAATTTATCGACCAAATTGGCGATTTATTGAAAACGGACCAAATTAGGAGTACCCTTAACCGACGAGCATGTATGTAAGAGAGGTGTGTCAGGATCGTGCCAAATGGAAGTCTGTAGTCTCTGCCTACGCCTCTGGGTGACAGGCGTGAGTGTTTATATATATATTTAAAATGCTGTAATTACTGCTTATAACGTTTAGTGGCGGTGTATGAATAACCCCAAATCATCGATATTGGTCACGTCTACAAAACTGTGTAAATAAAATCGTAACAAACGTTTTTATTTTTGATACCTTCCATACAGGTAAAAGGAGGATTAATTTTTTTCTACCCGTCTATTCCATCGTGTTTAAGTCTTTCAAAAACATTGGGGATATGGAACAACATTGTTTCGATTCAGAAGTCCGTTTGCGAAAATGACTTAAAACTAGCGGGATTATAACATTGTAATATTATTGTAAACTGTAAGAAATAATAAATAGCTTTACTTTTTCCTTTACGGAATAGCAAGAGGGCTTTTGTAGTTGTTAGTTTTTGCAGGTCTCATTCAAAGTATTCATACACTCATATAGCCTCATAAAGTTTCATTCGTAGTACTCTTGGTTTACGCGGGCGACCCTCAGGATAGTTTAGGGCAGTGGTGGTTTACGGGAAGGCTCATTACGGTCATTATATTATGTATCTTAGGGTTGCACTGCCGGGAATATATAGATTGATATCAACTTTGACCATCTTCATACGGACTTGGCATGTGAATGATTTGATTAGATTGTATTATTTTCAACATCAAAAAGTTTTCTTTATCTTTTTTTAATACCACTCTCTATAATTATGATTTTAAAATATATCCTTCAGTTACCATCGTCATATTTGGACCCATTTTTTGTCCTTATAGTGGTCAAATCGCGAACTCTATATGGTCATTATCAAGAAAGCCTTATCTAAGTTTACGTAATGTGACGAGCAACTACGGAACCCTAACACTACATTGTGCGTAGAGCGACACGCAATTGGCCAGTTTTATTTAATCCTGATCACAATATCTTCTTGCAAACCACACTTTTTTCATAAAACACATTTCTCAACCTATCGTTCAGATTCACCCCTAACATACTCCTTGATGACCACATTTCGACATTATACGTAGGCGGTCCCATTATGAATTGGCCTAACTATGAACCAATGAAGAAAATGAAACGAAACTAATTTTATTTTTCAATATAATCACCATGAATACTAACACATTTCTTACATCTGTGAATCAACATCTCTAAACCTTTATAAAAATAATCACATTTTTTATCCTCAAAATGACTGAAGACGGCCGCCTGCAACTCTTCATCGCTTGAAAATTTTCTTCCTCTTAAGTCCCGCTTTAAATTTGGAAATAAATAATAGTTGGACGGGGCCATGTCTGGACTGTAAGGTGGATCTTGAACTTCTGTGAACCCGCATTGACGAACTGCATCCTTCGAAACACCAGCGGTATGAACAGGGGCGTTGTCATGGAGCAACAGGACACCTTTAGACAGCTTGCCTCTTCGTTTTTTCTTTATCTTGTCTCGTAATTTATATATTAAAGAAGCAAAATATTCGCCGTTCACGACTGTATTACGTTCTTTAAAATCCACCATCAAAATGCCTTGAAAATCCCAAAATATTGTGCACATCAGTTTTTTAGTCGGTTGTTGCACCTTTGCCTTTCTAAGGGGCTTTTCACCCTTATAACGCCATTCCATTGACTCGCGCTTGCTTTGTGGATCATGATACAAGATCATAGTTTCATCACCAGTCACTAGCCGCTCGATCACAGTCTTTGGATTTTCGCCACAAAGATCTAAAAACTCCGAAGCGCAGCGCACTCTTTCCTGTCTCTGTACCGCTGAAAGAAGTTTCGGTACCCATCTTGCACTCACTTTTTTCATGTGAAGATGTTCATGGATCGCGCGATGAATGGTATTCTTAGAGAGCCCAAGCCTTGCTGCAATTTCTCTAATCTTCCAACGACGGTCACTCAGAACCTCCTCTTCGATAAGATCAATCGTTTCGGGAGTGAGCACTTCCACAGGTCGACCGTCGTGGCCAAAGTCTTCGACGGTTTCTCTCCCGAGGCGAAACTCTTTCACCCAATTTTTCACTGTGCTATAGGAGGGGGCAGACTCCTTATACACGCCATCCAATCGTTCTTTTATTTGGGCAGGGGATAAAACTTCTTTAAACAGAAATTTTATGACACTTCGATACTCAGTTTTCGACATTTTGAAAAAATACGCGACTCTCGTTATTCAAATGCCTGTTAAACTAAGACTAAGCATTTCATGTCGATGCATGTTTCTTATATTAAGTGCACGATAAACGTACTATTTAATGCAACACAACATGTAGCGACATGTCGCGTTGAACTATATCAGGCCAGTTCATTATGGGACCGCCTGGTATTTAATCTCACACTTGTCTGCCTCATTCAACTTTCAGTATCATATATTAAGGTCTACCTAACTCTACCACCCTCTTCTGCAGGATAAATGATAAAAGCGGTGCGTATATATAATTCATAATGCTGTGTTAATATAGATATTCCTAGGAATATCTATATTAACACAGCATTATGAATTGCCATACGCACCGCTTTTATCATTTATCCTGCAGAAGAGAGTGGTAGAGTATGTAAGGAACGACTTAATGGAAGTTCAGCGGCCAAATTGGCTAAATATTTATGGTTGGCTAAATCAAGTGTAGGTACACCTAACCTGCGAGCATGCATGCTTGGGTATATGAATGTATACGAAGCGAGAGATGTGTGTCAGGATCGTACTAAATGGATGCCCGTAGTCTCAGCCTACTCCTGTAGAAGGCGTTTGAGTTACAGTTATGTTTATTTATTTACACTTTATTGTATAAAATACCTTAAAAAGGATTGCAAATAGCGGACTTAATGCTTTTTGCATCCTCTCTCAGTTCACCCGGCACGTGTATTAATAACGTAAAATCTTGCTACAAGAAAATTAATGCGAGCTATGAATGAAACTGAGATTAAAGTTACTCCACGTGATGAAATTGTAACCTGGAGATCAAAGGATATAGCTTCGGTCTACTAAACCGTTGGCGATTCATTGGCCTGAAGTGATCATAGGTCGACTCAAAGGACTGAATACTATACATATATATACATACCTATATTTTCCGTAAATAGCAATGGAAAATATAGGTATATATATGTAATATGTGTATATTTATTTATGTCCGTTTCTGTGTCGGCCAATAACTCCTAAACCAGTCGTCGGGTTATAATAACTATTTATCATTAAACTATGGCGAAAATAAACTGTCAATACCTTAAATAATTACTATAAGTAGTTATATCATATATGATAATAGACCTATAGAATTAATAGATGTATTTCAAATATATACAAGTTATTCTGCTGTGATCTTTATGTTATATAATTACTTAGATATTACTTAGATCACTGCAGATAGTTCTTTGTTTTCAATTTTCTTAATGATCATTTAAATATTATGTAACATACGCTGTGCTCTTAAAACTGAGTGAGGTAATAAAATGAAATTGTCAGATTATTAATACTGAGGTATAAGAAAAACATTATGTTATAACAGTACAGTTTAAAAGTAGCCCTTTTCACAGATACAGAAATCACTCTGTGCTTGTCGACTACAAGCAACAACACAGTTCCAATCACAGTGAGCTACCACTTGGACCCGATCTCCGAGGAAGATGGCATCATCTACGCATCGCTCTTGCTGCTTTCGCTGTACATATTGATTATATTCGAGGTAAATTTAATCGAAAGAGGGATAAAGGCTAGGTTGGACAAAAATATCGTATTTTAGACATGATTCTCACGCTCGAGTATTGGTACTTATTGAAATAGAATAACCTCAGGAGAAATACGCGCATGCATGAAATACTCAAATTTAAATCGAATGGATTTTTAATATTCTTACATGTTACACGTGGTAGAGCCATGTTGCAGTTATATTAGTAATATTATAGTTGTAGCACGAATGGGTCGGCTCGACCGGGGAAGGACCACGCTCTCACAGAATACCAGCTTCAAATAGTAGCTTAATGCTGCTGTGTTTCGTATAGTGTAGAGAACCGGAGACCCTTTTTACTGGAAACGAGGCATTCCACTTAAGTCCTCACGGATGACAACGCATCTGCATTTTGATTCGTAATCACAGCAACCAATTACCATCAGGTGGACTGTGTGCTCGTTTATCATCCTATCCTATAAAAAAATAATATTAAAGCTTTAATTTTCGAGTTCTCGTTTTTCAACCAATAACCATATTATGTCAGTTTTCGATAGTATGAAAGGCATAATATTATACTGATTTAGATTTGTAACCCTTATTTCTTGGCAATAGGCAAAAAAGCAAAGTGAACCGTGATGCTCAGGGGCTCAGCGCTCGCCGTTAATTTCATAGCACGCGAGCAACCCGTGTTCGATCCCTACCGGCACCAATGAAATTACTAATTGCAATATTAAGTGCTGATTTACCACGTGCTCGGCGGTGAAGGAAAACATCGTGAGGAAACTGTCTGAGAAATAAGGAAAAAAATACGTGTGACACTCGGGGACTGCCGCGGTAAAGCTATTGCATAGCATTTTTATCAACTTATGCAATTATAATTATTTTTTTCTTTTTTTTTTCTTTTATATTTATTAAAGTTTTTTTCTTTGATATTAATTCAAGTTACACTTTTTGAGCGCGGTGACCGATAAGAAAACAATTTTTTTCTTTTATTGAAAAAATCGGAAGTTTATAATTGTTTAAAATATTTTTTTGTCTTACAATGGATGTAGGTTATTCAGGAATTTTTATCATTGAAACTATAGGTTTATGGTAATTAACGAGTTCTTCCGACAAAAGATAATTTTCAATAAAGTCTGTGTTTATTAAATACTCTAAATTCACGAAAGTTGCTAGCATGACGACGACTCATATAAATCCAGAGAATATGCTTCTTGCAATAAACTATATTATTGTTTAAAATATTTTTAGTATCTTACAATACATGCAACTAGTCTAAACGCGTACGTCTAGTAGCACGCACACAAACACCGTGCCGAAGTCTGCCGAACTTAAACGACGTTAGACAATGTTAGGTTTTCGGGTCTTAGGTTTTTTCGTTACGGAATTTCTTGATTAGGTCGCCGCGCTCAAAGCCCGCGATAAAAGCTATGCAATAGCTTAAAAATATATTTTGAAGACACGTTAAGTTTACTAACACGCATTGGGGCAGCGCGGCGCACATATCCTTGCCCTAGAACCCTCTCAGAGATAAGAGGGACCTTTGCCCATATGTGGGACGTATATAGGTTGTAACTTTTAATAAACAAAACAATTTCAAAAATGTAACTTTTTATTCACTGAATGTCTGATACTTATTTAGTGCTGGATAAATATGCATGCATCCGAGAAGAGAGCGCTAAATGTCTTATATCGTCGGAAATCCTCGCCTCGATTAAAAACAAAAAATGAGTCGTGGTTGGTACTTTGGGAAAATAACGAAACTAGTAATCGAAATTTTAGCGGATAATTTTAAAGGAAAGAAAGTTAAGAGGGGAAGGAAGCCCACATGACTTTTTATTAAAAATAATTCCGAAACAAATGATTTCTGGCGATTCGCACTGGAGCAACGCGTTTGAACAATCGGACTGCCAATTGCAGTACCTACAACTTAGACTGTGTATTTTTTACGTCTAGCGTAAACGAGGTACACCGTTGTCTGTCAAAAGCCATGAGATTCTCTGAAAAACGCCATAGTCACCATTTATCACCATTCATTATTTATCATAATACCAGTTCATTTTGTGTTCATTTAAAAGTCCTTTGCTGAACGTAGACTGCCCCCATCGATTGTCACATAAATAGAATACTATAATACATACATAATAAAACAGGGGAGTGGGCGGAGCCCGTTTAGCCACTAAAATGCCACTAACACGTCAATTCACACGTATGAATGTCAACACAAAATGTGTTTTGACGTTACAATCGTTTCCAAATTTCACATGCAAATTATTTAGAAAATGCAGAATTGCACACTATTTACATATAAATATGTATTAAAATCCACCTATCAACACAGCGAATCAGGTTTGTAGTAGTGATTTACTGATAATACGACGTAATTGCTTGCATGTGTGCTCCCGGCAGCACCTATCGTCGTACAAAATAAGGTTGACAGCCATTCTATTGTGTATTCTATGGTCACAAAGCACGGTACTAAGTCACCTGCATACATCGACTTCCTGCATATGATATCAAGTCGTCATAATATCTAGTGGGGGTCAACCATCATTGCGCTTATTCTCCATCCCCATCAGTGGTTTTTTTCTTATAACATCAAAATAATTCACTTTTGCAGATAGTGAACCGCACGATAGCAGCGCTTCTATCGTCGTCCTTGGGTATCGCTGTACTCGCTTTGGGCGGGGCTCGGCCATCGTTGCCCGAGCTGGTCTCCTGGCTCGACGTGGAGACTCTACTGTTGCTGTTCAGTATGATGGTGCTCGTCGCGATCCTCGCGGAGACCGGCCTGTTTGATTACTTAGCTGTTATCGCTTTTGAGGTGAGGATTTTACGTGTGGTGTATATTACGATTAAAATTTAATTGTGAAAAGAAATAATGAAGAGGAAGATCAGAGATGAAGTCAAATTTTGAACGTCATACATATCAATACAAAAATTACATTGTGTTGTTTTGCAATTAAAGATAACTTAAAATGAAGTGAGATGAATGAGAATGCACTACCGCATATCATCCCCTTGGTGACATAAGAGGTGACAAGTAACTGTCACAGGAGATAGGCAGCTACATTACCTGCTATCTTATAATAATCAAAAATTGCGGTTGTAAACCCGCCAGCCAAGCGAGGCAACTATAGAAAATTAATGGAGAAACCCTATGTTTAACAGTGGATTTCGTCATCACCGTCATGGATGATGACTTCCTGACAATGATGATGAAATATACTGTTGATATTTACTTTAATCGTCACTCTTGGCAGACTTGGATTGACAACCCCAGTTTTCTGTTTAAGTTTCCCTCTGTCGCGTCTTATAACTCCCTCGGGACGAAATAGGGTGGAACAGAGGACTTTGACAGACTGTAATAAACGAAAAAAAATGTTATATTGATTCATAGAACTGAAAATCTATTGTTTTTTGATAGGAGCTAATGTATATTCAATTAAGTGTATATGTTATTTTAGGTGACAGGGGGAAGAACTTGGCCTCTGATTAACTGCTTGTGTTTTTTCACTGCATTCTTCTCTACCTTCCTAGACAATGTCACGACTGTGCTTTTAATGACACCAGTGACTATAAGGTAAGATGTTTTTATTACCTTGTTTATTTTTTATCTAAATTTAGAAATATATAATTTGCTAAATGAATAAAAATATTTTTAAGGGTTTAATTGCCTTGAATTCTTTACGAATTGAAATCTGTGCAGCATCCAATAACACGGGTGAACTAAGCTTTTAATTATTATTAATTTTAAGCCGCTTGATATGCTTGTAATATCATGGATATGTTTTATAGATTTAAAATATATACTGGAGTATAAGTTTATTAAGTTTACTTATAAAATTAACCGAAAACAGCACGTCGTAAGTCTTACGTCATAATAAAAATGTACTTATCACGAAACTATAATCATATATCATAAGGCACCCTCTGAGGAAGGTAGGTAAATAAAGTAGGTAAAAAAATAGGTAAATGACTTAATTCAAATGTCATTTACTTAATCTAATCAATTTTAGTATAATATATCACAGCACTTTATATTATTACAAAATGTAAAATGCGGTAACATACAATTTAAATAAACCTAAAAATGTCTAAACTGTATTTTAATTGAATTGAATACATTTTAAGCTACTTACTTGAAGTTAATACGTAAAACGAAACGAAATAACAATTTGTATCGTTTGCATAGTAATTTATATATTTCACATCTAGATAAAATTTCCTAACCAGGCTCTGCGAGGTAATGCAGCTTAACCCAGTGCCGGTGCTGATGTCAATGGTGATATTTAGCAATGTGGGTGGCGCAGCTACTCCCGTTGGTGATCCACCCAACGTCATTATTGCCAGTCACCCATCTGTCTTACAAGCGGTAACCTATCACTTTTATAAAATTAAGCGTCAGTGAGTGGGAATATATCACTTTTCCAAAATTTCTATCTCAATTTTAGATCTCGCATGATTGTATCGTAGCAATTTATTCCAACCAAATGGCATAATTTTTTAATATGCTACACAGCATGAAAATAATTTCTTGTAACTATCACTTAAGGGTACACTAGTCGCTTATTCTTCCATACAAACGTAGTCCGGCGATAACTCCACTGTTTGATGATGTACGTTCAAAATAAAAAATGATTTCAATTGGTCTCATCATTATCTAGGCCTGTATGGAAACAAAAAAGTAAAAAAAGAGTATATTTAAAAGTTATAAGCGTCGAAAATTCCGAATTTCAACACTATTTTTAACACATCTTTGGGCGGAAATAAATACCATAAGAAGAACGAAAATTGCAAAACAGTTACCATACAGGGATAGATTAGTTGTTCAAAAATGCAAATAATTTTATTTTAAACAGATACATTCAATAGATTTTTCGTGACATCCAGACTACCAAAGGTCTGTTTATAAAATTTCGCGCGCCCGTTTTTGTTATAAAACATCTTGCCTTTCGCTACAAATTATTTCCCCGATCAGTGAGACGGACGGAGGGGGGGACGCAGCGCGCACTCACACATACTCACTAGGTTAGCCGCTTGTTTTTTGTTCGTGTCCATTGCTGAAGCCGGTATGAATATAGCTGCTAAAATGTTCCCATAAGTTTGTTGAAGCACATTTAGTTAAAATTGAAAACAAGTTGGTACATAATAACGAACTTTCGATACAGATAGTACATTAGGTACTTAACTACTTTAATTTGCTAACTAACGAAAACATCTCATAGATAAGCACGATTATCGAAAATCTTAAAATTATCTATTAATTGAATTAGAACAGGTAATTTTTAGATTTTCGATAATCGTGCTTACGTATAGGAATCTCATATCCTAATATACCTATTGTTGAAATTAAAGGATTTTCTACTAGAAAAAGAAACGTGTATTTTTGCCTTTTTTTGATCGATAGTAATATGTATAGGTATTTAAATCTTGTAATCTCGGAAGCTCGGAAGTCCGATTCTCACTTGGCAAAAAATTTGTTTATATTTAACCTTACCTGAGACATACTCATATTTTTTTATATATAATTTACTATACTACTATATAAGCTACTACTAAAAAAATAGTAGTAGCTTTGCTATGGTATTATAGTACCTATATTTTGGATTAGATTTAATTTATTACAGAGCCGTGGTAGCTCAGTGGTTAACGCTCGCTGTAAATATAACAGAACGCGAGTAACCCGGGTTCGATCCCCGCCGGCACCAATGAAATTGTTAATTGCAATTTTAAGTGCTGATTTACCACGTGCTCGGCGGTGAAGGAAAACATCGTGAGGAAACCTGCATGTCTGAGGAATAAGAAAAAAATATTTCGAAGACATGTGAAGTTCGTCAACACGCATTTGGGCAGCGCGGCGGACACTTCCTTGCCCTAAACCTTCTCAGAAATGAGGGGGAGGCCTGAGCCCAGCAGTGGGACGTATATAGGCTGTAACTTTACTTTACTTTTATTACAGAATAACCTACCTTAGATATTGGGTTATGAATACAGATAAGTACACATATATAATTTCTTTCTACAATCGCGCCTTTTATTTGTTTGGACTGATCACCTGACTCGTTCAGTGATGCCATTCCCATACAGTGTTTAGTTTTCAACTAGCGTTATCTATCATAAAATAAATAAAAATTTTATTCATATTTCGCTAATTGTGTCTGTACTGTGAATTTGATTTACAATCGATCTCTAAATTGTAGTTTTCTTCTAATTACTTACCTTGCCTGGACGTGTTCTTTGGACTTCTGTAAGGAAGTCTATGCTGTTAGTATTCCGTTTATATACCTACGTTACTATTTTGATAGACGTTTGTGCTTGTCCCTGCAGTGACACAATGCCTGTTGTTAATAACTTTCTAAGTACTAAGAGAATATTTCAAACCGCTATTGAACACAAACAATCAATAAACAATTTACAAACTAACATTTTTTTTATTTAATTTACCTATATAAAAGCCACACTCACATCAAAATCGCGCTGTCGAAAAAGCAGTTATCCTGACACTGTGCCATATACTTCGGGGTCGGGGAGTTGCCTGCGGGCTATTATAGCTAACTAGCTATGGAAAGTAAATACCTATTTAGAATACATAGTACCTACAGTAATATTTGCATAACCTACAGTAAAATACAAAAACATACAGAAAACATAATTATGTTACACTTTTTTGTGTTTGTTTTAGAAATTGTTATATTTTTTTCAAAAAAAGTTTTTTATGTTACCGTTTTTAGTTTAGAGTTATGTCCCTTTAGTGGGTACAGGCGTGATATTATATTGTGTGATTGCGTAAAGAATGCATAGATAGGCGATAGCAGCAATCGCGGTTGATTTGCTGTCATTTATTGAAGAGTGCCCCCGATTTCTCCAAGATCCCATCATCAGATCCTGATCTGATCATCGTCGATTACCGTGGGATTATCTGGAAAATATATCCAAATCGGTTCAGGCATATTCGAGAAATCGGGGGACAGAACATACATAAACAAAAACCAACGAATTGAGAACCACCTCCTTTTTTCGAAGTCGGTTAAAAAGTAGGTAAAAACAAATCAATGGAATTATTATATAATAACAACATCTACTTAAGTTCACATAAGAACTTTCATCATAACAACTAAGCACATAAATTGGGTTCATAATAATTACGTTTCACACAGCAGATTCTAAGTTACAATAACACCAATTTGCTTTCTCTCTCCTTTCTATACGTTATCCCCGATTTTCTCCAGTATCGTGGAGGCAGTTTACAAATATAAATTGCATAAGAACAAACATCCAGACCCGGAACAACTATTTGTAGTCCATACAAAATATTTGTTCCGTGGGGGATTCGAACCCGCGGCACTCAGCGCAGCTACTCATTGCTAAGCTATTGCGGCACGAAGTTCACAATTGCCGTAAGTAAAATGAAACGCATAGGTACCTAGGTACGCGATGATGCCGTCGCGCATTGCGTCACTCGAGTGCGTATGTGTGTGCGCACTAGCTTCTTACTGCTCATCACAGCGTCTATCCCTTTCGCACGAGATGTCGGCTGAGATAGCATGCATTTTTGCCCCGCCCACCACTTAGTTCGTGCCATCGACTAGGGCAACCTTAATTTAAATTTTTACACAGAAAAAGTATCTTCATACGGTACAGCCAAGCTGCAGCCATATTATGATTGTACCAGGAATGGGTTAGCACTACCGGCACAGAATAAATAATAGTACTACGTACAGAAGTTGCACTCCTTTGATGTCGACTGCTTACCGACGTTTAATAGCCTACATAATTATTATTAATCAGATAAATCACACGCAAGCTATCGCTGCGCGCTAGTGTGCATATTACTTTGCATATTTTTTGTCACGGCGGACTTGTCCGTGGTTATTAAGGGATGTCAATAGAAAGTAAAAAAATACAATGCGAAATGTTAATTATGTTACTTAGGTGAAGTACAAACTAATAATCTGACTATGATTGACTAACCATACTTTCGCCAATATGTGAGTTTTGCGATGACTAACGCATGCAAATTGCAAGGTCATTCGTCGAGAATCGTAACGCTTGGGAGAAATAGGTAGATAGTGTAAACAACAAATAAACATGAAATACGGTTTCGAACAGAAATGTGATCTACTTAGTTAAAAATCTTGTTAGTATACAAAGTTTTAATTTCAGTATTTTGTGTTATTACCTATAACTCAAAATATCTTAATTACAAAAGACAAGTAAGTATAGGTATGTAAGTAAATACTTGGATAGTGAAGTAAATTTTAACTAATTTTTGTAATGAAGTACTGAGGTATTTCTTCTGTAGACCAAATTATTACTTAATTCTTTTTTGCTGAGCACCTATCTAACAAAAAAATTAAATAAATTCACCTTTCATAACTTTTTTCTAAAATTCTTCGGTAACATAAAGAATGATATTAAACCTTTTGTTGGTCATTTCATTTAGTATCCATCTAAGCAACAGTTATAGTAGGAACGACGTTTTGCTATTATAATTTATCAAATAGGTAATATACATATTATATAATTTTTAAAATACATTAAAACTTTTACAACTATTTTTACCTACAATTAAATATACTAAACACTAAACAAAAACTATTTCAACAACTATTTACATAAAACTATTTACGTAAATAGCGTTAAAAACCTTTAACATTCAATCTGACTGCGTTATTTCGCCCGGGCGCGTCGCGATTTTAGGTAATTATTTCACGCAGGTAGCAAGAGTGATAGAGGCCTGCTACCGGGTATGGACCATGCTCTTCCAGAATACCAGCGTAAAATTGCTGCTTAATACTCTTATTTCGTATAGTGAATATACTCGTAGAGAACTGGAGATACTTTTTACTGGAAACGAGGCATTCCATCTTGGTAGAGAGTGTGGTCGTTTGTCAGCCTTATTTAATATAAAAAAGTGAAAGGCTGTACAATTAAATTTATATTGAAGGTTTGAATTCGCTATGTCACTTGTATTTTTTAAAATATTACTAAAATGAATCAATAAATTTGACATAAAAAGATGGAAAGTTACGGATCTAAAAATTAGAACAAAAACTTAAAGAACTTTTGTTTGGAATACTAAGTTATATTTAAATTAACTGTATAAAAATCAACCGTATGTTACTAAACGGCGTTTTATAGATCGTACCACAGAAATAAGAACATCATATCAACTGAAATATAACATTTCAGAATATCAATTTCACAACGTTCACTCTTCACATGGGGCTTGGAATACTTCTGGTGGCGGCCCAAACGTACCTGCAGCTGCGATACATATTCCGAGATATTAACACGCTCAGACACACTGTGCCTAGAGATATACAGGGTGAGTCACTGTTGATGAATTATTTTTTTATATTGTTTAGTTAATGTACGAACTGGTCAGATGTAAAACACGTAGAACAGCGAGGGCAACGGGGAGAAAATGTCAAAGATCAATTCCGATTTTGATCAGTTGTATTTTTTGAATTTTCAATCGCAAATCGGGTATGGTATATAGATTATGAAATTTCGAAAGATTTTTCGTCACCATCCATCGAGCACAGCCTATATTAGCTCATAGATTGCCGCAGGGAGGGGAGGGGGATTTCACCATAGTTTCCACGCTTGTCAGGTACAGGGTACACAACCGCAGTTTTTTGTTATTTTGAGTTGTTATTAGGAAGATACCCACTTCCTGTTTCAGGTTTCCCTCTGTTGGCTCTTACGACACCACGGGACGAATGATTTTATTAAAAGAAAATTGTAAGCATTTCACATTGTTTTTTAGAAATGCGCCAAGAAATTGCAGTGTGGCGTCGTGCAGCTGCTTCCTTAGCTTCGTACTCGAGGGACGAAGACATCGTAAGGAGAGCCTTAGAGAAAAAGGTTTGAAGTATAAATTAGCTAACCCATTGAAATATTAAAGTTTAGTTACATTGTGGGTTGAAAGATATATTAAAGTTATTATGCTTTTTCATCATCATCAGTCCATAAAAGACAACTGTCGGACATGCGCCTACTCCGGTTTTGGGAATATATAGAATATATTGCCAGTAAACAAAAAAATATTGCAACAAACGATTTATAGAGTTCGCCTTGTGGGAAGTTAATAAAGAAACCATTACTGTTGTGAAAGAAACAACGCTGTTCATAGCATAGAATACTATAATACACAATAGAATGGCTGTCAACCTTATTTTGTACGGAGGTTCGGCGTCGCCGGGAACACACATACAAGCAATTACGTCGTATTATCAGTTAATCACTACTACAAACCCGATTAGCTGTGTTGACAGACGGATTTTAATACATATTTATTTGTAAATAGCATGCCATTTGGCATTTTCTAAATAATTTGCATGCGGAATTTGGAAACGATTGTAACAAAACACATCTCGTGTTGACATTTATACGTGTGAATTGACGTGTTAGTGGCATTTTAGTGGCTACACGGGCTCCGCCCACTCCCCTGTTCTATTATGTATGTATTATAGTATTCTATGGCTCGTAGTAACAAAGGCGTTGAGTTTATCGGTTTGTTGTTTCAAAGCTCTCGTCTCAAATTTAAGAGTTGATTTGAAAATATATACTGAGCACTAATTCTAAATTAAATAAGTTTTTAGATAAAATAATGGCTTGACTGGTAATAAATGCCAAACGGCAATATCCGCTCTTTGTATTTGATACGAATAAATGCTATCACTGGACTATTTTCTTAAAGCTTGTATTCCGATTTTAGACAGAAATATACCGTGTTACAGGTGCAGAAACTGCACGTAACATTGTTGAAGAGGGAAGCGGGCGGGGGTAAATCAAAATCTGATCCACATTTCTGTTCTACGCTAGCGCATATGAAACAAAAAGTAAGTAAACAACATGAACTCAATTATACACTGAATTAAACAAGTTTGGTGAATTTTATTGCGTTTTAATTCAACTTTTCTTGTTGAAATCCACCATTCCTGATGTTTTGAGCGCTTTATAGCACAAAAACGCTACTCAATTTTAAGATAAAAAGATCAAGTGATAGAGTAGGGCCATGTAAGCACAGAATTATTATTATTACAGCCATTAACAAGTCCACTTCTGAACATAAGCCTCCCCCAAGAAATGCCACAAAGCACGGTCCAAAGCCACCTGCATCTATCGACTTCTTGTATGTCTTACCAGGTCATCACTCCATCTAGTGGCTGGTCGGTGGTCGGCTAACACTTCGTTTACCGGAACGAGACTGCCACTCGAGAACCTTTCTTCCCCAACGGTTGTTGGTTCTTCAAGCTATATGAGCGGTCCATTGCCACTTCACCTTACCGATCTACCGTACCGTTGCACTTTGTCAGTTACTTTGGTTCTACTGCGGATATCATCATACGCGTCAACAACTACGAGTGCTCCAACACCTAACAGTAAATGTGTAACATGCACATTATAATATATGACCTTCGTTTTGTCTATTCTTAAGACCTATCCGTTAGGAGACATAAGAACTATATCGCTGACAAATCAAAAATGAGTTATGTCATCATTACAGCCCTTCACAAGTCCACTGCTGAACATAGGTCTCCCCCAAGGTATGCCACAAAGCACGGTCCTGAGCCACCTGCATCCATTGACTTCCTGCATGTCTTACCGGTCGTCACTCCATCTAGTGGAGAGTCGCCCTACACTTCGCCTACCGGTACGAGGCTGCAACTTGAGAACCTTTCTTCCCCAATGATTGTCGGTTCTTCGAGCTATATGGCCGACCCATTGCCACTTCAGCTTACTAATCCATTGGGCTATGTCGGTCACTCTGTTTCTACTTCGGATATCCTCATTTCTAAGTTTATCACGCAGAGAAACTCCTAGCATAGCCTTCTCCATAGCTCGCTGAGCGACTTTGAGCGTCCTCAAATGGCCAGCAGTGAAGGACCACATCTAATTTCCGTAGGCCATCACTGGCAACACGCACTGGTTGTACAACTTAGTTTTCAGGTTTTGAGGTATACCTGACGAGTAGATGCGTCGTAATTTCCCGAACGCTGTCCAGCCGAGTTGAATCCGTCGATTGACCTCTCGGTCGAAGTTGGACTTACCTAGTCGGACTATTTGTCCCAGGTAAACGTACTCGTCAACAACTTCGAGCTTAGTGCTCCCAACAACTACCGGCATAGGTGTGACATGGACATTAAACATGATCTTTGTTTTATCCATGTTCATCTTAAGGCCTATCCGTAGGGAGGCACTCCAGCGACTCTGCCATAAGGACTATATCGTCGGCAAATCGAAGGTGAGTTATGTACTCGCCATTGGTGTTAATACCGTATCCTTACCAGTCCAGTAGTTTGAAAACGTCTTCCAATGCAGCGGTGAAGAGTTTCGGGGAAGTAACGTCACCCTGTCTTACACCTCTCTGCAGTTGGATAGGTTTCGTACTCTGGTTCTGTACTCGGACAGCCATTGTAGCCCTACTGTACAAACACTTCAGCACTTCAATATACCGACAGTCAACCTGGCACCGCTGAAGGGACTGCAGCACCGCCCAAATTTCGACGGAATCAAAGGCTTTCTCATAGTCCACATACGCCAGTCAAAGTGGCAGATTGTACTCTTTGGACTTCTGCACAATTTGCCAAAGGATATGTATGTGGTCTATGGTACTAAAACCTTTTCGGAAACCGGCTTGTTCGGGAGGCTGGAAGTCATCTAATCTGCGTGCGAGATGATTCGTAATGACTCTGGAGAACAGCACGTAGACGCGGCTCAGAAGGGATATCGGTCTGTAGTTCTTCAAGAGGGCGTTGTCACCTTTCTTGAAGAACAAGACCACCGCACTTCTGCTCCACACCTCCGGAGTAGTGCCACCATGGAGGACGGAATTAAAGAGCCTCTGAAGGACTTCAAGTACCGGTTTTCCACCCGCTTTCAGAAGCTCCGCTGTAATTCCATCCTCGCCAGGGGACTTGCCGTTTTTAAGGTGCTGGAGAGCCATTCTAATCTCGCTCAGACTGACGTCCGGGATATCATCGGAATAGTGTCGGATAAGACTTGCTCTTGGATCGTTACTCACACTTGCGTGTGGCTCCAACGATGATGTGTACAGCTGCCCATAGAACCTCTCAATCTCACTCAGAATCTCAGGTGTCCCGGAAACGATGCTGCCACACTCAGTCTTCAGCTTTGACAGTTGGCTCTTACTGGCAGACAGATCTCTGGCAAAGACTTTGGAGTCCTGGTTCCGCTCGATCGCTTCTTCAATACGAGCAGTATTAAAGTTGCGCAAGTCTCGCCGCATGCATTTGGGGATCTTTTTGTCCAGTTGCCTGCATGCTGTCAAATCTGTTGACGATTGCAGCCTCATCTCCCGTCTAATAGCCATGAGATTAAGAGTGTGATCGGAGAGTTTTTGTGTTCTTCTGCTGCGGGTCTTGCAGAACTTAGCTCCGACCACATGGACAGGTTCCACGAGCTTGTCATTCATATCGTCCAGGCACTGATAGCGGTTACGTAGCTCGAGCTGAAAAGTTTCGGGATTCTGGATTAGAGCACGAGGAGGACGGAACGTTGACTTCAATAGACGAGACCTCTCCAACTTAACGTTTAGGTTCAGTGTGCCTCTAACCATTCGGTGATCGTTGCCAGTTTTCACCCTTGCGATCACTGGGACATCACTGAACAGTTGGCGTCTAGTCATCATAATCATTTTTTTGCAACAACTAAATCTCTGCAGTTGGATAGGTTTCGTGATCTGGTTCTGTACTTCAATAGCCATCGTACTGTACTTGTACAAACACTTAAGCACTACAATATACCGACATTCAACTTGGCATCACTGAAAGGAATGTAGCACCACCCAAATTTCGACGGAATCAAAAGCTTTTCTAGTCCACATAAGCAAGACAAAGTGCCAGATGGTATTCTTCGTTTTTTTTTTTCGTAATGACTCTCGAAAACAACACTTAAAACAAGGCTCGGAAGGAAATCGATCGTTGACGCCTTTCTTGAAGAATAGAAATTCTGTTCCACGATTCCGGATTAGTGCCAACAAGGAAGACGGAATTAAAGACCTTCCGAAGGTTGTTCCGAAGTAAAGTTCCGAAGGTTCCGGATTAGTGCCAACAAGAAAGACGGAATTAAAGACCTTCCGAAGGTTGTTCCTAAGGTTGAAGGTTCCGAAGGTTCCAGTTTAGTGCCAACAAGAAAGACGGAATTAAAGGCCTTCCGAAGGTTGAAGGTTCCGGATTAGTGCCAACAAGAAAGACGGAATTAAAAACCTTACGAAGGTCTTTTATTTACGTCTTCCATTCCGGTCTTTAAGTACCCATTTTCCACCCACTTTCAGAAACTTCGCTGTAATTTCATCCTCACCGGGGCATTGTCGTTTCTAAGGTGTTGGAGAGCCATTCTAATCTCGCTCAGATTGATGTCCGGAGTATTATTGAAATATTGTCGGGTAATACTTGCTCTTGGATCATATTTTATTTATATATTTACATATTTATTCATACACATTATTCTTACGGTCTTCAACAGTTAGCGTTTTCTGGCGGACAGATCTCTGGCAAAGACTTTGGAGCCTTAATTCCCAACGATCGCTTGTTTAGTAATATATTGAGTCTTAAAAGCTTTAAGTCTCGGCGCATGCATTTAGAGACCTGTCTCTTCAGTTGTCATATCTGCTGAAGACTGTAGCTTCAGTTCCCGTCTAACAACCATGAAATTAAATTTTGTGATCGTGTATTGTTTGGGTTATTCTGTGTACAGAATACCAGCATGAAATAGCAATATAATACTACTGTGTTTCGTATGATTAGTGATGAAAACTGGAGAATTACTTACTGATAATGCGGCATTTCATCTTAGTTCTCAGGGGTGGTAACTAGTCTGCGATTTGGTACTACGTCTATGATCCGCAGCACCCATTTGCCATCAAAAAGACTGTGCCCATGTTTGTCAACCTTGTTGTAATGTGATAAAAATAACGCAAGCAATAAAATGGTCCCACGGGTGTGTAAACGTGGGCTCGCTCCCTAGGACGTGTAAAATTCAGCTTACGTGGTAATCCCCCCCTTCGCGTGTGAACTGTATGTTAAGACATACAATTCAACCTGTTTTTCTGACAATATACTTTGGACCGTCTTACGAATAACATGCCTAATGATTTCTTATATTTACGCGAACACTATACGTTGATTATAACTACTTTTACGGATTTTATCGCGTTTTATTTATATTAATTTTAATACCCGACGTTTCGGGTGCTTTCCGATGATCACGGGGGACTGAGGTGACTGACGTCCCGATGTCAAAATTAACCCGGAGTACCTTCAGCTTTTTAATTATTGTCTTTGGTCCGATCTACGCAGCTTTGGTCAGATGATACGTGAGGCTATTGAAATTAAAAAACATCCTAATTTCAATAGAGAAGGAGGCTGGGTACTACCACCTGCTTGGGATCCTATAATTAATAAAATTAAAACTAAACCCAAGCATACCACTGCAAGACTTCAAAATACAGTTAGTTCATTCTGCGTAGATCAGACCAAAGACAATAATTAAAAAGCTGAAGGTACTCCGGGTTAACTTTGACATCGGGACGTCAGTCACCTCAGTCCCCCGTGACCATGGGTGCTGGAAAGCACCCGAAACGTCGGGTATTAAAATTAATATAAATAAAACGCGATAAAATCCGTAAAAGTAGTTTTAATCAATGACTAACACGCCTTTTATTTAAACACCTAAAGAACCCATCATATAACATTGTAATAAAAAATATCTTTGCTTACAGTACCGCATCAGAGACAAGCAGCTGTTGGTGAAGTCAGTGGTATGCGTCGCTTTTGTTGTTATCGTGTTCTTTCTTCACGCAATACCGGAACTGCGTAAGTGACTTTTTCCATTAAAACTGCACTTATTACATTTGGTAGTGGCGTAAGGGAAAGTCTATCGCTACATTTAAGCGAACTTTCAAAAAAGGAGGAGCGTCTCAATTCGAGTATATGTTTTTGTTTTTGAATCTATGTAACTCGATATCTGCAATCAATTATGGATCGAGTTTGGTGAATCTTTTATTTAAATAATTATTAAATAGGTAAATACTTCATGATTGTTCCCATATAAACTTAGAGGAATACTTGGGCTGATGTTTTTATTGTAAATTTAAACTACATTCGAGCTTTTGATATGCCTTAGTTCACTTTAAAGGATAAAAAAAAACTTTTAATACAAAGTAAAAACTGCCTTTATACGAAGTACATTGTGTGCGTAAATCGTACTTATTACATTACTGTAATATTAAGTTAGTTCTAACTGTTTGCCTTTATACGAAGTATATTGTGTGTGTAAATCATACTTTTAACTTTACTGTAATATTAAGTTAGCTCCAACTGTTTCAAATCAGTTCCCGACGTACATTAGTTGTGCGCACAAATATTATACACAAATCAATAAATATTTTTACGAGTATTATCAAGTTTTATTGCTAGCAAAAACGAGAACGATATCAAGGAGACGACAACAATAATCTGTACATAAAAGCCTGTACATAATGGTCCTTCGCGCCGGATATGAACTTTATACTACATTAAAGTGCTGCTGTGGACATATACTTAGTACAGCCTTTAAGAGCCCAGTCTTTCAGAGCAAAACAGAAAAATTGCGTTCTGGTGACACATCTACACCCTCCCTGCCCCGCCACTTCATGTACCGCCACCGCAGTTATCTTTCTGGCCGTAGCGTGGAAAGTTGCTCTACTAAGATTTTCCAGTATCAATTTATCTAATATACAGGATTATTGATAATTAGCTAACAAATTTTCACATACAGATTTTCTACCTCGTATCTATTTTTGTTCCATGCTTTTATTACAAAATTCGTTACACAAAAAAAAATATTTTAAGTTTGTATAATTTTTTGTTGTTTTGTTGAAAAGGTTTCTAAAAGATAATCATCTAGAACCTGTATAACATGTACTCGTATTATTGATTATTCAAATGAATCTGGCAAGTGCTAGAATGAGTCGTGCACTGAGGGTTTCGTAATAAGTCGATGACACTATCGAAAATCCGTCAAGTACGTCAAGTAGTTCTAAATACTAAAATAGATTAAAAAAAACTCAAAATAATTTCTATATAAGTACAAACAGTCCACTATCACACATATTTATAGTTTCTCATTAAAGTATAATGTAACTTTGTATAGCATTTACCTATATGCATTACAAATATGCAACTCATTTATAAACTATTCTTAAAAGTACCTACCTAATTATATACCTAATATTTAACCAAGTGCTCACACATATGCACGTTGTTAACTATTTTACTATGAAACACAAAAAAAACTTACCTTTGAATTCTATTTCTGTTCATTGCTTCAACGTTTGATTTCAATTTTCGTTTTCTGGTACAAGCATATTTTTTACGTTTATGGTCCATATCGAAATTAAAAGTTATAAAACAAATACAAAATGATTTATAAACCCTTAAAGAATTATATGCAAAAAATAATAAAGTAGAGCAACTTTCAATTCGTAACAATGCGCAACCAAGATTAGGGAAAGAGAGAGAAAGAGGAATGTTAGAGCGAGAGGAAGTGCAAAAATTTGGCACAGACAAGACGTCTGAACGCTACAGCCGCTCAGCGGCTACTAAACGCTACATACGACACGATATCGGTGGCGATCTAGGGTGGAGTAGTGGGGATGCCTCCTAGATTGCCTCTAAATCGTGTCGTATGTAGGGCCATCCTAAGTCGTGGCCGATATCGCCTCCTTAATCGGCTGGCAGGAGCAAAAATGCTTCCTAGATCAGCCGATGCTTCCTAGATCGGGGCACCGCCCCCTCATTACTGCGTGTGTGTAGGCGCATCGGCCCGATTTCTTTTGGCAGTCGCTGCCGGCAACCCTCGCGGAAGGAAGTTAACAAAACAGTGATACTGAATGACCTTTTTTATATAACAAAATTTTTACATTTTAATCATAAAAACGTAGTAGAAGCCTATGGCACTGATATTTTACAAAAAAAAAACCAAAAAAAAGTAAATAAAATAAATAAATTAATTGAAATTTTATCGAAATTCAAATCATATCTACCCTAGCCTGTGACCCTGCGAAGTGACATGGTCAAGAATGCCTACTAAACTAATTTTTTTATTGCCGTTCGTAAAGTAGAGTGTATGATGTAAGTAAGGAGAAGATAAAGCCTCTCCTCAACAACTAACTCCTATTCCAACGCTATCAACACAAGACCGCACTCATATCTCTTACAACTCCACAAGACCACACTTCGATATCTTACGTGCCTTCATCCTCTTATCAACAACTAACTTCTACTCCTTCACCATCTCCACATCAACAAACAAGTTATATTGTAATTGCTCGTATAAGGGAGCGTCGATAAAATAGAGCGGGTTTGCTGGCGGGATGTTAACTGGAGAGCATACAGTAGCAGTTAGATGAGCAATAAATAACACTTCTTGAGAGTTTCTTCTTATTTTATTTCTTGATTCCTTATTATTACATTGCCGGATTTGGAATATTTTACCACGAAAAACGCCCCTTTTTTATAAGCGGCTGTAACCAATCATAATTAAGAAAAAATCGCACACGGCATTAGTGAATCTATTGACCAATCAGAGCACAGAATAACCCTTTCTAAGAGAGATTTACAATTTTCTTAATAAACGTGGTAAAACATACCTTACAACATTTATATTTATTCCTAACGATAGATACAACTTATTTCTAATATTCTAAACCTAAATTATTCAATAAACCTTTATTTTACACTTATAAAAAATAAAAATAACTTCGCGGTCGCTTCACGGTTTAGCTCCGGAGTAGGATAGTATTTTTTTGCCGAACATACAAGTAGCGCCGCCAAGAGGTAGGAATGTACAACACTTTTTTCAGGAATAATGCTTAAGAATTTATACAATATTTTTTCATAAGATTTAAATCTTTCTCATAATGAAATAACATTATATAGTGATTAATTGACATATTAATTTTTCTTTTGAATTACTTTAAAGGAAGAAAAATTATATTAATCACCTATATGTTAATAGCTCTTAGAGTTATGATAAAAAATCTTACTAGAAAATAAGCTTATACTTGCGTCTAATGTTCTAATCAGACCTAAATAATATTAAATAGATTCATATAAGTTACTTTAAGATAAGAATAGAAGTGTTTAATTTACTTTCCCGTTTTCAGCACTAATCAGTCTTTACACTTAGCTTTATTTACGAATAGGAAACAATTAAGATTAAATACTATCACTTAGTTTTAAATCACTGATAAGGAATAATTAAGATTAAATGTTCGAATTCACTTTGTCGTCGCTAACATTCTCCCCCACGGTGCGTAGCACTGCATCCTCTGGAGGCGACGACTCCGCTGGCACCAGCACGATGACACGTCGAGTTGGACGGCGAAGTATTCCACCTGATGTCCGCACGTCCAGCACCCTGGTTCTTCCGTCTGGTCCGGGATAGGCTTTGACGATTTCACCGCGAGGCCATGAGTTTCGCGGTAATGTGGCGTCTACTATTAGCACGATGTCTCCTTCCCTTGGGTCTCTGGTTTCTTTCCCTTCGAGTTTCCTTGGCATCAGGAGAGGTAAGTATTCTTTAATCCACCTTTTCCAGAAGTGGTCTGCGAGTATCTGGGTGGTTCTCCAGCTTGCCCTTCCGATGAGCTCCTTGTCGCTGAACTCTCCCGGCGCCATAGCTCCGCATGATCTTCCCAGCAGAAAGTGGTTCGGTGTTAGGCTTTCCTCGTCTCCTGGGTCCATGCTGATCGGGGTGAGAGGTCTCGAGTTGACGATGTGTTCAACCTCAGTCATTAGCGTATGGAGTACTTCCTCGGGCGGGCTCTTCTCGTTGAGGACTACTGCTAGCGCCGTTTTGACTGTTCGTACGAGCCTCTCCCAGGCGCCTCCCATGTTTGGAGCTCCCGGGGGGATGAACTTCCACTGGATGCCCTTTTCCTGTGCGGCCTCTTCTAATTCCCTTTTCGCTCCGACGAAATTAGTTCCGTTGTCGCTATATATTGTTTTCGGAGTTCCTCTTCTGGCTGCCATTCGTCGGAGTGCCATGATCATTGAGCTGGTGCTGAGAGAAGGTACCAGCTCTAAATGTACTGCTCTAGTTGTGAGACAGGTAAATAAGGCTCCCCAGCGCTTCTCGTTCCTTCTTCCGATGGTGACTTGCATCGGCCCGAAGTAGTCTACAGCTGTGCAGGAGAACGGAAATTGATGATGCTGCAATCTTTCACTCGGCAGATCTCCCGTTGGTGGTATCTCTGGTGAACTCTTCTTTGTCTTGCACCATTGACAGCTGTGTGCGACCGCTTTTAGAGTTGCTCTTAAACCCAAGATCCAGAACCTTTGACGAATTTCGTTCATTACTGTAGCGGTGTTTCCGTGAAGGAATTTCCTGTGATAGTGTTGTATTATTAGACGAGTTATCTTTTGTTTTCCATCTAAAATGATAGGGTTCATTATTCTTCCGTTTTGATCGTGGAATTTCATTGTTCTGCTCCTTAATTTAATTATTCTGTCGTCTCCAATGTAAACGTCGATTTTCTTGAGTCGACTCGAATTTTCTAATGGCTTTTCTGACTTCAGTTTTCTTATGTCTGATGCAAAACTATCGTTCTGGCTTATTTTTATTAATATCTCTTCGGCCTTTTTTAGGTGTTCCGCTTCTATGGGTGAGTATAGGCGCTTATTTTCACTTCTGCTGGTCGACGGGATTAAGGTTTGTGCTTCTTTCTTCTGGATTTTTTGTGGTTTCCAGGACTCATCCTTCTGGCGTGCGGCGGTGGTGGTCGCTTTACGGCTCTTCTTTAGTAGGTGTGTAAAGGCGATCACTCTGGCTG